AAGAAATATTTATTATTATTATTATTATTATTATTAAAGACCATAAAGTAAAGGGAGTTACTTTTGTCTGGGCCAGGAAAGAGGTTGTATAGTTTGCTGAAAGCGGGCACTCCATAGATAACGAAAGATTTGACCTACACAACAATGTGATATCAGTTATATATACTAGAACTGTTAATCAGAGTTTATTTTGTCTTTAAGAAGATTGCTTGGTATTATCAGTAACCACAATCGTTATATACATACTGAAATCAATACACGTATCGCTCACAAGTTCACTCTAGTATGGCTGTTCAACCTCTTTTGAAAGATTATCCTATAATGAATAGATTTTCAAGACTAGCTAGTGCCTTGTTTTCCTATTCATTTCTTTTGTTCATTTCGGTTTCCTTTTTTAAGGATTAATATAATTTATTGTTTATGTCTATGGCATGCATAGTACTAGTCAGGAACTAGTGAATAAGACGTTTTTAGCCCGATTTAACCACACTGCCAGCCACTATGTGATACCAAATGTATGGCTGAAGAAACACCTACATGCATGCTAACCACGCCTGSCTTCATGTCTCTGAACCTTTATGGCAAGTAGACTTTACTTCATGACTAATAAGTAACTCGTGTTCAACAAATTTCAAAGAACTACAGTGATCACAGGGCAGTTCAAAAATGAATATTAAATGAACGTTGTATGTGCTTGCCAGCAATGATGATAGAATCGTGGGAAATGATGATAAAAAAACACGGTAGTTACATAGTCATGGCCGAACTCCTTCTTAACAAGGCACGGGATTTATACTAAATCAACAACAGTCGGTTTTATACTGTTTAAGTGACTCTTTACAAAATCCTTGCTTTTCTTGAACTATTCCTTCTGTATCATGAACAGAGCTTTCCAAACTCGAAAGAAAGAATGGTCAGTCGGTCGTGACATAGCCAAACCTATCTTTTGGGCCCGTAAATCCTGTATTGATAAAGTTTAAGGTGAAGGAATTAATCTATTACAAAGAGTACTAACAACTGACAAATCCTTTAACAAAGTAAACATTTTAAGAGATCGAGCTTGTAGAAAACTTATCACATTTGTACAACATACTGTCAAGAAAATCTGCCTTTACAACAACTAAATGTTCATGGTGGGATCCAACAATGACAAAGGTTTTTGGGAAGACTTGTTTTCTTAACTTCAATGGCGTCCATATTGAGGAGGGCGATATAATGAGCTCTGATTGAACCTAAATTAAAGTTGACCTTTTGGTGTATTTTTTAATTTCATATCATAAAGTTTTCCAAAGTTTGTTTGACATTTCTGTTCTTTGCTGTTGCCGCTTTTTCACGCCTCGTTTGGTTAACCGTTCTCTTGGGCAAGAAATAACCTATTTTTCACAACCAAGCGAGCTAAAAACACCTATTTTTATTTGTTTCAAACACCTAGAATCAAAAACATTTTGGCAACTCGGCTGAGTGAATTTTCTTATTTAAATTGTTCTGTCGTTTCTCTCGACATTTCAAAAGAATACATGAATAACTTCAGTGACTAACTTGATAGGTGTGTGTGTGTGTTGTTACCGCGTTCAAAGTCATCTTACATTCGTGTCAGATACGTTTCAGAGATAGACATACGAGAGTTCCTGTGATTTTCATTTTCTTTCTCGTGACTTCAAGAAAGTACTCGTTACTAAATTCTTTGCCAATGACGGCAGAACATAAACAGTAACGTTTCAAAAACTGACACCAGCTCGTCATTGAATTCTGTGTATTGAAATGTGATCCCAGATAATTAAAAAAATCTTTGTTAGCTTTTGGTCGAGGTTTAACAGTAATTAACGTACGACAGAGGAAGCCGGTCGGCGGCCACCAACCCTCGGCCCTAGGCAAGAATATAACATTGCTGGCTGTACGATAAACGTACAGTTGAAAGAATCGAACACTTCCATTGCAACTGACGCCCGCCATAGTGTTATACTTCAAGTAGAGCACGGTTTGAGCTGCGTAGACAAGTTATGAAGTGCTTTGAACGGCAAGCTAAAGCTTGGAGTAAACATTCGTTTTGTTGGGATGAAGTGCGCTTTGCAAATACTAAATATTAAAATGTATTTTTCAAGTGATGTTCTCGTGCAAGAAGCGTTTGTGATGTTGCCAATTTTGTAATAACGTTACCATCCATGTTTATTCATTTTTTTTTCAAAAGCCGTTCCACGAAACGGAACTGGAAAGTATCCCATCACTACATAAGCGACGTAGGATAAGACACACATACATATACACCTTATTGTAGTACTAATAAAATGACAAAAATATTAATGAAATAAATCAGTCCAACGGCGCCACAACCTCGTAAATAAATGCCCCTTTTGTGGACGGTACAAGCGAGTTGAAAGAAACCTGTTTACTTTATAGGGCCCAAAAGACTAAATTAATCGATAGATGGTTAAGGTGTTCATGATATTTCTTTGCTTTTGTGTGCTAGATAAACAATAATAAATACTGTAATAAAAGAAAGGTAAGGCTAAATGGAGTGATTTTCCCGCTGAGAGACAACAGCGGCAAACTGAAGAGTCCGCAAATAGGCACTCTTTACATTCCTGTGTTCTCTTTGTTTGACAAGAGTACAATCTCGAGAAATTCTTGAAAATTTCAAGAGACCCCCGATGACACTCAGACAAAGCTAAGACTGCTTTAGACCTAGCAAGCCTGCAAATCAAGTTGCAGTTTGGTTAATTAAAGTACGATGGCTCTCTCCATCAAAGAGCATTAGGATGACAATAAACCACTTGAATGAAATTTAATCAACAGAGTTGTGTCAAGTTGTTTTGCCTGTTCCGAGTCGCGCAGCCACTTATTTGCAGATTATTAGCTATGCAATACCGTGCAGGAGCCACCGACACATGTCAAGCGGACACTATTTTCAGTCGTACTCGCGAGAACATAAAGAAATTCGACACCGAACGTCTATTTTTGTTGTTAATTATTCTGGTTTCAATGAGCGATATGCTTTGTCCTCTGGTCGAATCCCACGAAGTGTGTGCTTTTTCTATGACAAATGTAGATCGTGTTTATATATACCCGTGTATACGAGAACGTAAAATTCTATTGCAAAAAAATATTTGTCAAAGAAAAAAYAAAGAAATCGGTATCGCTGCCTCCGATTGGCATTTACCGAACATTTTGCCAACAATCGAAAGCGTTAAAATGTAATTAATATAGATATGAGTTTATTTATAAAGACGGAGCGCTCTGATTGGCTGCTGGCAAAATGAATCGTAAGGGGTTAGTTTGTAAAGAAAATCAGTGACGCATATACTCACAAGAGCTAGATAGTCGTGTACAGGACACATGCCGGCTAAGGAGTCAGGACAGTCCCGTAACCCTTTTTACACTTTGTTGATTGAGGCTTAAGTTTTGCATTGGCCGGATTCACTCTGCTGTTGGAAGACATTAAAAGAATACACTTCGTAAGCTTTTCTTGATTACTGGGAAGATTTTCAGCTATGGTTGACTCGCCCGTTAACTCACCGGAGCAGGCCATCTTTGCGGACATCAATAACGATCATGATGCAAAGGCGGTCTCGGACAAGTCCATCGATTCTCCCGAAGGTACTGCTTCTTTACTATTTGGCAAAAAAAAGTAGATTATCGTCCAGGATTCTGGAAAGACGAGTTCTAATTAGTTCAGGATTTTTCTAGGATTAAGTGTTAATCTTGCTTGGCACAACAATATGTTTTTTAACTCTTTATAATTCTAAGTGCTAAAATGTTACACCGCTTGCAATCAACACTTTTTCGTGCTGGTCATGTAGGGTATTCCTACGGCTCCTCGCCGAGACTTAGACCTCATATCTATGTCATTTCCAAGCCTAACCAAAGGGTTAAGTGTTTTTGTTTTCACCTATAGAGAATAATAATGACTCAGAGGACATCAAGCAAAAGCGAAAACAGCGCAGACAACGGACTCACTTCACGTCCTATCAGCTACAGGAACTCGAAGCAATGTTTGCCAGAAATCGCTACCCGGACATGGCAATGCGAGAAGAAATTGCAATGTGGACGAATCTGACTGAAGCTCGTGTACGGGTAAGTACCACTCGACTTCAAGAAGGCATGTTTATCATATTTGTCCTAAATAATTCAAATTCAAAAAGGTAGAATGCTTAATGAGTACAAGAAGCCGTCCAGGCATGAATCTGGTACCAGTGACGAAATCTTTTAGTTAATAAAACAGCTGTTATTTGCCTGTTAGTTTATCCCCTCTTTTAGTTATCATTGGACAACGTTCTGCCTAATTCCAGCTGTCCTGTGTAAATCATTGAGACAGTTATCTTGATTCAAGTACACAAGATGTAAATGCAAAGGACGAGCCATTCTTGGGCTCTTAATTATTCAAACCTGCCATGAACGAGATAAAAGCGACCTAAACAGTAGCCCGCGTTACGCCAGCAAAACAATCTTTTTACCTAACATTTGTGCACACAAAGGTCTGTGGTCCCAGCAAATTGATCCGCATTGAAAAGAAATCACCGTACCGGTCTGATTTCTGTACCATGTTTGCTCATTTTAATGTCTTCTTCAAGATATATTTCCGTGCAATTACATTGTTTACTCCTGGATTCGTCGAGAATCACAAAACACCTGGTCGTTTGTAACAAACGTTTGGTAATATCGAAAAACGGTGGTTTAACATTGACTTTTTCTGCTCGTTCACTGCGGGAGATGGTCTTCTCGTAACCGCTAGCGAAGTAACTAAACTTTTAAGGCTTTTGTTTAAGCAGTTTTGTGTGAATATTCTTAGAAGCATTAGATGGGGTTTTAGTTAACACCTTTACAAATACTCCAAACCAAGTGGCTATGTATTGTTACGATTAAGGGGACAGGTGAAGTTATAAACTAACTTAAATGTAATCGACGGTTTCGCGGGTCTAAGAAAGTGACATGTAACTGAAAATCTTAACGAAAATATATTAATTRAAAAATGGAAATAAAACTTGGAAATGACTTTATTGTTAACTTGGCATGCTCAAAGTATTGTAGTTGAGGTGGTAAGCCAGCAAACTAACGAGTTTTATCTTTTTGTTTGCTTCAACTTTTCAAGACACTATGTACAATTACCACAGACATGTGCATCAAGGATTTTCGACAGAAATTGTTCAAAAGAATTTCAAATCTACCGTTCTAGCCTGAGGGCAAAACGCGCGTTGATTTACACCTTAGAGATGGGTTTAGGAAATATTGAGCGGGCACTTGAATAAACTGATTGTATCATAAAGAACGAGAGATATGAGTCTTAAAAGACCGTTTATTGTTTTGCCAAGGAATTAAACGTTATTTGAGAGAATTTCCTGAATAATAAAGTAATCTTCGTCACTCATTTAGTCGTACTTCGCTCTCAAGAGCCTCTCGAAGAGCTTATGTCTTTATCAAGTGGGTTTGAAAAAAATATGGCTCTGAATTGCATTTTACTGACTTTTACTTTCTTGTTTTCGTTGTCGTTTAGGTTTGGTTTAAAAATAGACGAGCCAAATGGAGAAAAAAGGAGAAGAACAATCCTTCAATTCTTGGCCAAGACAAGGCCATGATTTCAAATTTGAATGGCTTTTTCGATAGTGGTGGGCCTGTTCGCTTTGAAACTGCTGCCGAAAACACGGCTTCCATGTACTCGAATTACACCTCCAACTATTGGAAGCAGAGTTCGCCAAGTCTTGGGCCATATGGCACTCTTACTCAGTCTGGTAACTCAATTGGATACAATTCTTATTCGTCTTCTTGTCCAGTTCCACCTCCAATTTCTGGATCACTCAGTTCCTTTGCAACACCAATTTCGAYCGATAGTCCTGTGTATGCCCCAAGCGCAGGTACTGTAGCAACCGTGCCCTGTGGCTACCCTCAGAGCTACGCCGGCTATCAAGAGCAGAACTTATATCTGAAAACAAAGCCATCGAGTATGAATCACCACCCTAACTACCCCCAACCTACACCGTATGGTTCATACCCATATGGAGTCGCAGAAATACCCATTTAAGGATGGCATGAAGTTCAGTGCAATAAAACTGATTGCTTCCAGGACAGACACACTGGAGCAATAAAATAAGACGGTAATCAACGAATTGCCAAGTTTTGGCATGAATTAAGTAGTTATGTAGTGTATTGCTGTAAAACAGACTTTTTTTTCTTGAAAATGGAAAATGGGGTTATAAACCTAAACTTTCGACAACTATAGAGTCATTGTTTTCTGTTTTCAAATTGTATAAATTTAGTATTGGTGCAAAAGGCGTCTAAAAAGTATACAGTCGAGAAAAACAAAACTAAAGGATTTTTTAAATATCAGCGATACAATTCAGTCTGGTATTTTCAGTAGTTTTAGTTAACAGCCGGTTGTTACATTTTTATCACAAAAAAGCTAAAAAATGTAAAGGTAAAATCGTAAATTTTAGTTTGTTTCTGCTAACACCGGTAACAAAATGGCGATGATTCAATTCTTTATAAGTTGGACGTTTTGTTACAAGGTGATACGGTGTTTGCCTGACTCGGTCTCTTCTGTATATTTACCAAAGTTAATTCTAGTAAAGCTGTTTTCTTATTGAACTAAGAAGACCTTGATACCCAAGCAAGTGTGTGCTAATAATGGTTTTGTTCAAGAACCGTGTTCGCTTCATAGTTAATCCCAAATAGTATTGAAGTTGTTATTRAAAGTAATACCCCAGAGCTCTAAAAGTAACATTCGACTACTGAAACGTGGAAACGAAAGAGCTTAAACGTAAAAAGGAAAAACATGGGCCAAAATGTATGATACATACTTTAAAAAAAACAACTTGCAAACTCAATACGCTTTTCAAGCTTATTCACTTTTTTTTCTTCATCGATAATTTCAAGTCTTGTAATTTTTGAATTCTTAGTCGATCATTTTTATTTTTCTTTAATTTTGTTTAGTTTTAAGTTTTAATCAATAAAATGACTCCGCACGAATAAGATTTTGTCTACATTTGAACTGTCGTTTTCTTATAAATTTTCAATGCAATTTGATGCCAGACTGGCTATACAACAGTGATCAACCTTGAATAGCTACCGCGAAGGCATATTGTTTTGAAAGTAATTACCGTTGACAACAACACCAAATTCCCTGCCAAATTCCATTCAAAATTTTGTAGGTTTTATAGATTTATCCCAGAAAAAGAATGGTGTATTTAAGCTGGTACATTGCTATTGAAATAAATGATGTAGTTTATCAAGTAGATGTTGGGTTTGATGTTACGTGCAAGTTGTAGAACAAACCTAGRAGGTTCTTTTGTGGCCAACATGAAATGACTCCATTGTGTCAGGCTTTTGAACATCGGAAAAGAACCGGACCACGAACTTGTTCTTTCACGAGGAAAGAAGAACAAATGTAAAGAGACTTTAAGAAGGGATCAAATTCCTCTTTCAGATGTTGTAAGAGATCCTTAAGCAGGAAAGAAGGGGGAAAGAAAAGACTTTTCGAGCAGGTTAGACGAAAAATAAGAATTTCTGTGGCGAATTAATTTCTATTGCTGGTAGACTACATTGTGCAATTTTCAACACCTCACTAACTAACAACAAAACGACTCCTTTTTACGACTTGGTGATCTCAATCATTTAAAATTTCTACTTGTTATGCAATTATGGTGAAGGAACACTTCTATTGTTCACACTGCTGGGCCATTAGTAAAAGTCAAAAAAAATCCACCTCTAAATTTGACAAAAAAATATTCCTACGTACATAAGTGTTTGTGTTTGAAGACTAAACTAGTCTAGTTGTGTTTAATAACCATTAACTAATAAAGTATTTAGTTTGAATTTTAGYTAAAGATTCAATGCCCTTAGGCAGTGAATATTACCAGACAGCTCAAGCGGAGAGTTACTTTTTCTCCTTTGTGACGACGTCAGGTACCTTTTAATTACTAATGGCCTATTCTTTGCATCTAAATGAGCGTTCGCAGCGAGAAACTTGCTAAAGATACCACATAAAAGAAATTCTAGCGCTTCCTTACGTTTTACTAAAACATCCGGCAACTGATAAAAAAGAATATAAGTGGGTATTGAGTAAATGAATTGGGTTTTACTTTCACTGTATACAGCTTAGCTTGTACTGTACTATACTTGCTGTATCCTTTCTTCATAAACGAACTACGAACAAATAATAATAGAATAATRATTATAGTTATAGGTTGGCTGAAATTTTAGTAAATTTGTTGTCTATTTTTTTATTATTTAATTCTGCAATTAGTTTTCTTTTTTTCTGGACATTTTACTGCCATATCAGTTTCTGCCTATGCAAAGGCAGGAAAAATCATTTTTAGTAACGATCATTGATAAATATCCTACAATTAATGGTTTGAAAAAAATTCAACATATTTTAAGACATTTTAGTTAAAGACCACACATTTCTCGTTTTTTTTTCGGATTCTTTTACCAACCATTTTTTACGCACTCTACTTGAAACATCTCAATCTAGATAACCACATCGTCTCAAATCCGTATCGCTAATGCATTTGCAAAACCGTTTCCCTCCGAATCTCGATCGTTATCAGTATACATTTGACGAGTTTTAGTGCTCTCTTGAGATACCACGATAAACTTAATTTAGAAATTATCCTCGTACGGCTATCTGAAGCAGGGTTCTTCAGTAGCAGACGTGGCGAGTAAGTCAGTCGCCCGTCCACATGGTATGCCTTTAGACACAACATCGGATTTAAAATCATTAATTCGATTTATTGTGGAGACAATTGAAAAAGAGGATAAATTTGTTCAATTCTCTGTACTTAAACAAATAGTCTTAATCTCAGGTCTGATAAATACACCGAACAGACAGACAATGAAGTGAAATTTTAGCGGAAATAAACAGTCAAACAGGAAAAACTCGCCTGAATATTTTTAACGCTTTATTTTTCATTATAAAACGGACAAATCTATTTTTCTAGTGTTTTTGAATAAAAATTATTAAGTTTCGCTGATGCTATCCAAAAAGAAAATATAGGTTTAAATACGTTTCTGGATTTAAATAATTTTTAACACTTTTTGGTCCACATTTTTATTTTTGTTGTCAAGTCCATCCGTTAGTCCTTAGATGGAATTGTCGAATAACTCGAGTTATACGGTTGAGCTTCATTAACATCAATACTTTATCCAAATCATTGCACTGCTAATGGATTTAACTTCAAGTCTATAAAAATAACAAATAAAACGAGCAAACAAGTTTATGAAAATTATTATATAATAAATAATTTAAGCTATATAATCTTCTGGGTCGAATGTTATTCACCATGGGCTTAGCTTAGTGTGGTATGAGCGAGGGAAGCGAGGCGCTATTTGTAGAAGATTTCATGTTTAAGGCACGTTTGTTGGCCGTTTCGAGAAGAAATTTCTAAACTACTCTATGTTGGTACTATTTGTAGAAGATTTTATGTTCAAGGCACAATCGTTGGTTGTTTATGAAGAAATTTCTACACTAGCAGGGTTAGTTTTCGTAAACACATTTTTCACACGTCTTGGCAAATAGTCCTATTTAGTTGTACTGTCTGTCTGTCTGTCTTTTGGTAGGATATTTTTTGAGTAGCAGCTGTTGAAATGGTAGTTTTGAAGAACACTTGACTAGCAGTGGTGTCCTCTTATTGTTTTTATTTCTTAGATCGATTTGGCTAAGAAAGAGAAATGCTGCGGGTTATTGTGCCTTACTTTAGTCGTGAAATAAGTATTTAAATATCAATTTATGAGGGGTGTGTGTTGTGGGTAATTCAGAAGAAACAGGCTTATCAATTGGTTCATGTTTTGTTTGTAACGTACAGTGACAGTTTGGGCGTTCTCTCTCTCTCTCTCTTTCATTCATTCATTCATTCTTTCTCTCTCTCTCTCTCTGTAATCCATCCATTCTTTCTTTCTTTCTTTTCTTTACAGTTTCCTTCCTTCCTTCCATTCTTTCTGTCGTCGTAGTTGGGAAGAAACCGCTATATCGTCCTGTACCCCAGAATATGCTGGACTCTCATCAACATATGAATTGAATTACGCTTATTTCTACCCTGTCCTTCTGTTCTGATTTCCAAGTCACTTTCCTTCCCAAAATCGTCATGCTTCAAACTTCCAATTCGATCATTCGAAGAAAGATTAGAACCTAGATTGACAGCGATTTACGCTTCATATTCTGCAAAGTCAATTCATACTTTCTTGTGACGTGATACAGATTTAAACTATAGCTTTCTTAAGTTAAATAAATGATAATGAATAAGTATTTTTCCTTTAGTTTATTCGCCGGTTTTTGCAAATATTCAGTACGTATCATTTGTGTGAATATCAGCCCTCTCTAAAGGGTTTAGGGTTAGGTTCTCGTATGTCGTTGGGTAAGTCGTCAAGCACCAATGAAAAAGTCAAACTAAAAACACATGAAAAAATAGTTGAAGAAAGGCAGTTTGACAAGAGATAGACATTGAAAATAAGACAGATGAGATTTCACAATCGTCTTGTCACTACACGGAGTAAAAAGAACAAACACTTCCTCCAAGAAAGGAAGGAAGGACATCCTAACACTCTCATAAAAATATTTTCTTAAAACAACTAACCGGACCATTTTCACAAGTACTTATCAAACAAACTTGCCAATATCTATCAATAGTGTTTACTCAAATACTCAAGAATGCTAACTTTTTATATCGTAGCTTTGATTTCATTGAGGATTGACAACTGATGTTGCAAAATGTCAAGATGTCTTACATCGGTCATATATGTACGATACTTTTAATATAAAATGTCAACAATGAGCTCATTTGAAAAGTAAACTAGTTATTTAATGTAGATATTTCATAAAAGGTAGCACATTAATTTTGTTTTAGGAATTCGTAAAAAGAATTATCATAAATAATTTTGACAAAAACACATATATTTGAAGAGCGAATTTCGATCCAAATCTATAGAAACTATTTGTTTTTCTTATGATTGTTTTCGGGGATTTTAAAGTATCTAGAGATTAAAGCACTTATGGATAACTAAAATGTTCTTATTCGGTGTCTGAGAGTGATTAGCTAGATGAATATCATGTAATTCAACAAAGTATAACATTGGTTTGGGGTGAGATTATTTTATGGAATCGAGACGCTGTGGTCAGTGGTGCTTTCAAATATATACCACTTTGAAGAATCATTGCTCACAACTGTGGAATCACCATACTTCATAGCCAGTGGCTAACAAACCTTTGGCCCTCATTTCATGGTTGAAGTGGAGTAAGAAGTTGATTTTGCAGAATTGGGGGAACAAAAATTAAATCTGTTCTTAATGCTGGGAGTAACTTGAAAGTTGAGATTAACAAAGTAATTTGTCATTTTTCGTTTCATTCATTTGTTAGTTTTCGGTTTTACTCATTTCAATACATACAAACAAAATCATTAAACTTTAATGTTTATTTTCCTATTTCAATAGCTTAGTTAATCTACTCAATTCGTTATTTCGCTTTTTTTCGATCTTTTTTTTTCAAAATGAAAAGGAAAAAAAAGCATAATTTCATCAATTTAAAAAATATATAGTTACATCGATTTTAGTCTGTGTCGTACGCTTTCGTACAAAAAAGGACTTCATTTTGTAAATCTTTTCTTATTAACAGCTGAATTGGCACAATAATGAGTGAAATTTTCGATGCCACACACAAAGGAAGAAAGAATATAAGCCGATACTTCGGTTCCATCCGATTGTATCTCACGCTAAAGTTTACCTTTCCAAGGGTGCTGCTTCCTTACATTTCTTCCGTTTTATGGACGAAACTTTTTTTGTGTTAGCTTGGTTAATTCTTTTCTTTTCTTTTCCGGATTCAAAGACTCAAAATCCGTGTGAATAACAAAGCTAAAATATATAAAAATAACAATAAAGTTGGCTTCAAAACAATTTTTGGGATCACATATTCAGTTGCTGGAAATTTCACGGTTTGAGAGTTGAACGCCAAATATCAAAGTGTCTTTAAAAATACTATTTAATTACATCTTTGTCAGTTTTAAGGCTAATCAAACAAAAGCATAAAACACATAATTTGATTCTCTTACGAAGGAGTCAAGGGAGCTTGATGTATTCAGATTGGAACGCTGTAATTAGGTTACGGTCGGCTCGTGCTAATTTCCTAACGCTTTGTCAGTTCTATTGACATTTGATCACAGAATCCTTCGAGAGAAATCCTTAAGTTATGAGGTACTTATATATACTGTAATAATTTTATCTTGGGGAGTATTTACTTTGAGTTTTTTGCGTGTCATCTTTCAAATATTGGGATACAATGAATGGATATTGAGGTTGGCTTCTACGTGGGCAAAACATCGTTATTCGCCATTCGGATGCTAATTCGCAAGCTATTGTGATATATGGTCAATAGTGATCGTGGCTYGAGAAAGAATATTATGCGTTCAAGTAATTATAATTAAGTGTATAATCAATTCTACGCATGAGTAGATCGTCGGAAGGGATGTTATGGGATTGGGAAAAAAACTGTGGTAAATAGGTAATTGGATGGATGGAATGGTATGGAATGGGATGGGATGGAATGGAATCGAATGGAGACAAAATGGGTGGATGCCTAAATGGACTGAATATATGAATGGATAGATTGGATGTCATGGGAAAGAAAAAATGGCATAGGTGAATGGGTAGATAGTGAATGGGATGGATGGATAAATTGACGGATGGGAAGGATGGATGGACGGACGGGTGGGTGGGTGGATGGATGGAGGGAGGGAGAGAGGGACGGACGGACGGAAATTAATTACCTGCAGTAATATGGGAATGGATGGATGGATGGAGGGATGGAGGGAGGGAGAGAGGGAGGGAGGATGGATGGATGGATGGAAGGACAGATGGACGGTGGAAGGATGGACGAATGGATGGATGGGATGAATGGATAAGTAGATGGTGAATGGTAAATGATTAGATGGCATTGCATAGTTTGTCAAAATCGAAATTTTCAATAAGGTATTACATCCGAGTATGAATGCTTTACACTACAAGTAAGTATGCCTATTACTTAGAAAATATTAGTAATCTTTTCTCGAAAAGTATGGTTCAACAAACAAAGTATTGGCTTGTGACTGATGTCTCCAGACTAAGAGATTATGTAAGAGATATTATCCAAGCTAGTTTATGGGTAATAAAGTGATAATTACCGTCCGTAACTCCATAAGACACGACCAAATGTCTTCGCTATCCGCCTATTTCACTGGATATTTTATGATGAACACTGATTGGATTCTAATAATTCGAAACATTGAAATTCGAGGGAGTTAATTGAAAATTGCGACTTTTCGAAATTTAATTCATGTGCTTTACTTGCTTGCTCATTATTATCTGTCATTAGTGAACCCACCTTTGGGCAGATGAGTAAGGCTACCAAAAACCTATTGTGAAAGTATATTTGCAGAGATGCAATTGAATTGATTGAAGACCTTGCGATTATCAGCGGTCGGAGAAAGATTACAAATTGTTACTGAGCCGGCAATTTATGAAGAAAAAAAAGTTCAAAAAATTCTCGGCCCGCCATGTAATGAACTTGTTAAGTGATATTATTGGTGGTGTCCATTGGCTGGGGAAGCACATACGTGGTGTCTTTGGCCTGTCAACGATTACCGTGTTTATTAATCATCTGCAGGTACTTGGCACTGAAGATAAACAACTTGTAAATGCAATTGAATACGTTTTACGACAAACATATTACCTAYCCTGTCCAGGTAGACAGCACTGGTATCTGTGCTACCATAATTACCAGGAAATGCCTTTTAAATTCGACGTCCCAAAAGGAACGTACATTGAACCCCCAACACGGTCAAATATAACAAAGAGTTAAAATAGCTCTCGTCTGTCACTTTATGATATTGCACGTGTTTAGCACCGCCTAGTTCAAGTAGTACAGCTTGTAACATCACCACCATTTTCCAGACTTTGGTTTACTATTCAAGCTATTTATGGAGTTCCAGGAATGATGTCTTACCTGACTGACTGTAATGCAACAGATGTGTAAGTGGCTATGAATCGTGACATCGTTAGACTTTCTTGGATTTGCAGTTGCTAACACTAAAAGACTTTAATCAGATTAATATTTCTAAGTATATTATATCAAGGTAGTTCAACTTGTGGCTGCACTTTCTAATTGTCATAGAAACAGCAGGATTCAAGAAATTAAACTTCAAGAAAAATTTTTTATCGGTCTGTTTTCGGGTTTTCATCTGTAGGAATTATAAGGAAAAAGTCTTCAAAGAAACTTCAAGAACGAAATTTTTTATCGATATGTTTGGCCTTTCATCTGTAGAAATTACGAGATATATTGTCTTTTAAATCCACCCACGTTTATCTTCCCTTACGATTCCAGGACGATCTTTTCACAAACAATAAAAAGTACCTCAGTTTAGAAAAATGTTTTTTTTTTTTTGTCGAATCATCATTCAATTATCATTCATTCATTTTCAGAGGGTTGATGACTGTAGGTATCTTTAAAGAGCGCCTATATAATTCAAAATAAGGAGGAATATGGAATATGGTTATACATTATTCACACCGTTTCTGGATCTCACCCAATTTCTTCTGACAAAATTATAACTCCTAATTTTTTATAGTAATTTTGAAGAATAAATTATTTTAGCAGTACTAAATTTATTTTGCACTAAGTAGTACAACCTATTGCAGTGCTGAAAAAAATCTTTAATTATATTGCAGTCAGATTCCATCAATATAAATAATGTAACTATAATTCAGTACTGACAATTCAATAATAATCAGTAATAATAAAAAAGAAAGTACAAATTCATAATAGCTACATTGTATTGCAGTGTCTATTATTTTCAATTGTACCATGAGCGCTATTTAATGCTTTTTATGTAGTACTTTATCATGAATAGAGTGTTTCGCCCCTAACTTGTAGTCTTTCAGGCTATGCCATAACACTTGAGTTTTCCAAGTGTATGGAACCCCTTTTCCTCACGCGGGTTTCCTGTGTCACCAAACCGCAGTTGGGAGACTGGGAGAGTTGATCTGTCATTAAGCAAACCGCTGTCCTCCCGCCACTTGCCATCGTTTGCGTCACAATTACATCCGAACCCTCCCTGACACGTGTCTGTTATTCCGCATGCGCACTTCCAGGTTCCCGGGGACGAGCCTCCCCAGTAGTCCATCTTTTGTCCATCACGTGAGACCCACCACCCATAAGACAAGCCGTGCCACAGGAGGACCGAGTTAAGGCATTCGTACTTGATGAACTGTTCACAGTTTGCTGATGCTTTGATGATAGAGTTGATCTGCTGTTCGGAGGCGCTTGTGTAGTTGATGTTTCGAACATAGCTACCTGTGGTCAAAGAAACAAACTCTTTAAAAGCATCTTTGTTTTGCGCGTTTCAGTCTTAACTTTTTCTTAGGAGCACAGAACAAAGCGAGGATGATGACCAAGAGAAAGAACTGACCTAGAGCAGATTCAAATTGGTTGGTGTGAGACCTTTGGGAAGCGCGTACCTCTATTAAGCAAACTTCAGGGAAGGTTTGACTATGTCCATTTAATAGACGTATCACTGTTTCAAATTATTCCTGCCATCCAACATGGCTGCCAAGAAACTCCTCTATTTTTGCTGACTAGACATTAGACAGGCCTACCCCTTACTCGCCATACTTCCAAGACAGGAGAATACCCTGGAGTTGAAAGTGTGACTATTACTTACCAGGATAGGGAAATCCTTCAACCAGAGTTCTCATCTCACTATCATGACCAATCACAGTAACTCCAGCACCTTTCCTGTACTCCATGTCACAGTAAACCTTCAATCCTTCTACACCGCCAGGAACATCAGTGTTAATGAAGTAATCACCGTTCCTGGTCGCACCTGTCATTTTCCATTCACTACATGATCTCACATAGACATCAAGTACAAGAGTTGAGTTGATAGAAGCAAGTGGGTTACTAGCAATGCAAATATACTCTCCAGCATCGGTCTTTGATGATACGTTTAACACTAGAGTTCCATTGGGGAGTACTTGGTGTTTGTTTATTAACCGCCCATCATTTCTTGTCCAGGAAATCTTTGCTACCATCTTCCCACTATGCCCTTGACAATCGATGCTAACAGTCTGGCTAACATGGGCCTTGGTGCGCGCGGGTGGTAGTAAGGTAAATCTTATGTTCTCTACCACAAGGAACTCTGCTTTCGCTTGTACTTGGTTGACGATGTTTTTCGCAATGCATGTGTAGATTCCACTGTCTTGGCTAACAGCCTTGACAAAAGTTATTCTATCTGAATTGGTATCAAGTTTTTCACCACGGTCGGTTTGATTGCCTTTGTACCAACTTATCACCGGCTGCGGGAAGCCTTGTGCCTTGCAATAGATCTCTGCTATAGATCCCTCTTTCACTACACGGTTCTTTGGTCTTTGCACAAACTCTACAGGCACTTGATAATTGAAACAAGTTTCGTGATTAAAAGGAATATTTTTAGACAGTACATCATCCAGTAACATAAACAGAAAACATAGCAGCAAATAGGAAAACTACTGAGCTTTTGTCAGTAAACTGTAAAATGTGATGTCCTACTATGACATCACACTCATTAGCATACTGGAAGTATAAACCTTGATATCTCCAAGATGCACCACTCAAATCATATAAAAATATTTCACCATTCGACTATTCACTTCATGTAGAATCAATGCTGAAAATATTGAGTTAGGGGTCATAGGCACTTTAACTTATATGGCCGATCAAACCAGGAAGGTGGAGGGATCTGATCAAACGTACGTTAACAACAAAAAAGCAAGTAGTTTTCTAAATAGGAAACTACCAATTTTGAGGATAATTGAATCAATGCAAAATATGAAGATAAAAAAAAAAAAAGCTAAAAAAGAACGAATTTTTTTATAGGATACGGTGGGATACGAACCCAAATCCACCGACAAAAATTCAAAAAATCGATTCTACTTTGCCATACCCCCGAGACATCCGCAGAGCTGAGGCGTCGTATGGACTTCGGACCTGACGGCGATTAAATCCTTCTGCCCTTGGGTGTACGAATTACGCAAGAAAATGTTCTAGCCGAAGCATCAGGGGAGAGACCAGCCGGCCCCCAGACCATATCGGCTAATCCCTTGCATCTCTGCCACGCACGGAATCGGTTGAAAGTTTAATGTTAAAAAGTCTAGTCTATTCGGTGCATTGTTTTCACGGCTATTGTTGTGCTGATTCACCAATAACCGTGGTCCAGTGGAAAAAACGTAGGTTCTCAAGACACTGAGTCAAGCCCGGCTGAGGAGGGTTAGTACCTGGATGGGTGACCTGAATCTTATACCTACTCAAGCTTTTGCGTCTTTTTTTTTTTCGTTTTAGATTTGAATATAATAATAATGATAATAATGATAATGATAATAATAATAATAATAATAATAATAATAATAACTTTATAATAGAATAGTTATCAAACTTTACTGTTTTTGCTCGCAATTAAGTCCGCAATTAATCGATTCTTGTTATCCAAATGCCCAGTCTCCTCGCGGCAAATTAGTAACTAGTCTCCCATGTCAATTGTAGCTTAGAGGGAAGAGAGTAACTGGTAATGATTTACGGAATAAATATTTCTCGCATACTTACAAATTATGTTAAACGACACAAACTCCTTTGCTTCTCCTAAGATATTATTCGCTAAGCATGTGTAGATCCCTTCGTCGCCTTTACGCACGCTCCTTATGACGAGAGATCCATTGCTATATATCTCGTGGTTGCCAGATGGCAAGGCGCCAGACATTCTGTACCACGTAACTATGGGCGTCGGGAGACCTTCAGCTGTACAAGAAAAGGTGACAGTCTTGCCTAAGTGAACAGTCTTGGCTTTAGGTGGGATTGTGATCGAGGGCGCTGCTACGGATACTCCTGCTTCTCCTGCGAAATAACGTGATACAAGATTTTGACATTTTATACCGCAATCACGTGCAATTGTAGTGGTGTTAGTGGTGGTAACAGTGATGCTAACAGTGGTAGTGGTGATGGTAGTAGTAGTGGTGGGGATACTAGCAGTGGTACTAGTGGTAGTGGTAGTTGTAGTGGCGGTGGTAATAGCAATGGTGGTTATAGCAGTGGTAGTGGTGGTGATACTAGCAGTGATTGCAGTGGTAGCGGTGATGGTAACAGTGGTGGTGGTGATAGCAGTGGTAGTGATGGTGATAACAGTGGTAGCGGTGATGGTGACAGTGGTGGTGGTGATAGCAATAGTAGTGGTGGTGGTAGCAGTAGTGTTGGTGTTGGTGATGCTAGGGAGTGGTGATGGTAGTGGTAGTAGTAGTGGTGGTGATGGTAGCAGTCGTAGTGATGAAGATAGCAGTCGTACGCGTAGTGGTGGTGGTGATAGGAGGGAGTGGTGATGGTAGCAATAGTAGTGTTGGTGGTGGTAGCAGTAGTGTTGGTGTCGGCAATAGGGTGGTAGTGGTGATGATAGTGGTAGCAGTAGTGGTGGTAGTGGTTTACTGGTATTTGTAGTGGTAATAGTATGAATATATACCTTTTTGACCTTTTTCTGAAGGMGGTCCCTTAACTCCCTTTTTTCCTCTTGGTCCCCTTTCTCCCTTCGATCCTTTTTGTCCCGGAGGGCCTGGTTCTCCCTTGGCTCCAACGATTACCAACTTTTCATTTTGTACGCTGTAGATTTTGTGCAAATTATTCATAAAAATATGAACCTGTCTTTTGATTTCTTTGTCGATATTTTGACGCATTTCTTCGTCAGTTGGGAAATCAATATCACCTTGCGTTGCCTGTCGTTTTGTCTTTAGAGCTGAATGTGAAAAAAAAACCCATTTACATTAAAACATTGCTTTGTTTCAGTCATAAAATACTCTGTCTTCCCTTCATAAATGACCGTGGGATCTTAGTTATTACCGCCTAATTGACTTTGTAACTTTGCTTATAATTTTGAAGATCAGGCACTGGGCCTCAAGGTAAGTATAGTATCCAATCTAGATGATAAGGTTAAGAAACCAAATCGAAACAAATGCCATTGATATAGATGTATGACAAGAAATTCTCCTGCCTATTTTAACTGATCATCTTCAGAGATCATTTTCGGAGACTTCAGAGCGTCTAACAAATTTTAACTAGAAGTCAGGTCTTTTATGGAGAAAAAATGACATTAACTGTAGAATATAACTGATTAATTGTACCAGTGATTGCATTATCATCACCACAAACATACCATGATGATAACTCTTCAACTTTAAACTCTCCAAACAGACTGCGTAATCCTGGGACTTCTTGTCTAGTATCCCAATCGTTTCAGCCAAACTAGAATACCTGTACTCATTCTTAATAAACGTGATTGAACTCAATGTCAGCGCAAGAATCGAAATTACGATAGTCAATGTGTTGTGAAGTTTATCGCGTCGTTGGAGAGTCTTTGGAGTCTCCATCGTTGTTGTTCTTCCCAAATAAAAAATAAATCGATTGAGTCACCCACAGAGAAGAAACTTGATTCCAGTCCAACGTTAGGTATCATTCTTGACCTCATGTTACTGTTCCATGCTGTTTTGTGGGTTGTTTAATTCTCTTTTTTCACGTACCATGCTGAGATCAGTTGTCTTCCGGTGGCTGATTCCGTGGAGTACGTGGAGTACTTGATATGCGTAGACATTCAACTCAATTAAGGAGCACCGGAAGTGTCAAAAAATCAGCTTTAGTTTATCAAGTTTTACTTTGACTTCTACTTTAGTGGCTTTATGGATGGCTAATGTACCTGTGTCTCTTGGCTATGATTGAAGGAAATAGACCTCTTTACCTTGGGCGTAATGTTTTCCCATTTTAGACCACGTGTTATTCTCTTGAGAATAAGATTCTTCGTTTGAGTTGTATCCATATTCATTTGTCTTCTCATGCGCAACCGTTAAACAAAGAAATGATACTCTAGGAAATGACACGTGGACGGAAATGGCAAAATTACGCCCAAGGTAAAGAGGTCTATTTGACATTTATTACAGCTTTTTATTTGTTTGTACGTTTGCTTTTTGTCTTATTTGTTTCGTTATCAGACATCCGAAGCAATGCCTTCCAAGGAAAGAAGTACGCAGTAACTCCACTCACGTGTGTGACGAGAATGACGCGATTAAACACGACCACAGAGAGGCCGCTGCACATTTAAACGGTATATCACGCGCAAACCAACTGTACTGAGGAAATCAAACCTTTGCGTTCAATTATTATTATTTGGATTGAACACACCCAGGTCCAAGAGTGGCATCTTGAGCACAACATTGCTTCAGCAGCTGAATCTAATTTCGCATCGGAAAATGTATCGCTCTAGACTGCGCAACGAATAAACATATTAAAAAAACTCTATTACTCATGCGCAGTATAGTACAAGTACATCCCACACGTGTTAATGGCTCAGAAGTGATTAGGTCGTTTTGAGGAGAATTTTGTTGTTATTTGTGAATACRTTGCACATGTTCTGTAGTTTTGGTAATCCAGAGCTGACATGGACTATATTATCTTATCCCTGTTATGGTGTTTTAAACTTCAGTGAAAAGAAAAGAGGCAATACCATTTTTAAAAAAAGCTTGCGCTAGTTTCTTAAAAAGAAGAAATAGTAAAACATATTGTGCTGAATCGTATTGTACAATTAATCCGTTAAGAGTTTTAAAGACAAATTGAGTAGTTTTCGTATGACTGTGAAAAGCGCACCGCACAAACACCGTAAGGGATACGCCAGGACAATGCCATTACTCTCCATCCAATGAAATGCCTGACACACGGCGCGGACACGGTCACGGCTATGCCAGACCAATCACATTGCGTAGGAAAAAAAAATCCCCAATCAAAATTCTAGAAAACATAACGGTCGTGGCACGGCACGCATACAGCACCGACGTTTTCACAGTAACACGAAAATTGCTTTATGCATTAGTACTTTGTCATAGGCTTGTGTGTAACGTAATACTAAAGAAATTCTACATGTAAACTATTAAAGTGATACCAGTATTTGTTCACCTTGTAATAATTGATAATAAAAGTATGAGTTAAAACACGTAATGGGCAGTTGATGTGTATTATACCAATTGTACTGCGATCAATCATTTAGGCTGATGAAAAATTTACTTGTTCTTGTCCTGAACATTGTATGATAACCATCTTGATTCCAGGGCGAATAGGATTGAATGTACGAGGCATAATGAAATTTCACGCATCCCACATGGAAAGGCCTTGAATAGGTTTTGTTATGCGCCGCATTCTAATTCCCAAGGGACTCAATATATTTTCCAAATTTATTTCATATTTCTTACGGCCGCATTTTCCATCTGTTCGAGCAAGAAAGGAAACTTKTACAAAGATTGTACATCCCACATGGACCACGGTGTTGGTATTACCTAGSTAGTTGCATTTTTATGAGATGCGGATGTAGGATGGGGATGAGGAGGATGCTATATGAGTTTTCACCCACTTTTCCAAGGATCTTCCAATGTTGAGATCCTTCCTTGCTGGATACCCAGATTTATGGGTCTTCCATAATATCTTCCCGTACAGAATAGTACGATAAAGGGCTAAAATAAAGATACTTGCTCGAAGAGAAGTCTTGATAAATTGTACATTTGTTTAAAAAGTGGGTGAAAACTCATATAGCATCCTCCTCATCCCCATCCTACATCCCCATCTCATAAAAATGCAACTACCTAGGTAATACCAACACCGTGGTCCATGTGGGATGTACAATCTTTGTACAAGTTTCCTTTCTTGCTCGAACAGATGGAAAATGCGGCCGTAAGAAATACGCAATAAATTTGAAAAATACATCGAATCCCTTGGGAATTAGCATGCGGCGCATAACATAATCTATTCAAGGCCCTTCCATGTGGGATGCGTGAATTTTTGAATAGTTGTAGGTTTGTATCAACTACCTAGATTCTGTATGAGGCGCGCACTGCTGTTACTTTTAATTTTGTCAATTCCTACTTATTATCCTATCAGGTTGCTTCAATTTCGTTGTCCTTCTTTTCTACCTGCTTACGTTTATTCAACAGCGCTCCATGTTAAAGCACACAGTGTACATAGTCTTTTTGTTTTAACCATCTCACCAGTGATTGACCCAGGAAGTGCAATGGGTCAACATGGTGGTCATCAGCTAGGAGGGGTCCTACTAGGACGCCGACCGCACGCCGGGGTTATGAGCCCCGCCCTCCTCCACACCAGAAGACAAGAAAAACAAAGAAACATTATTTAAGACTTTATTTGTACTTTTTGAGAAAAAAAAATCACCAAAACCTATTTTATGATTAAAGAGTTGGACAATTATGCCATTACTCACTCTTCAATCATTAAACATGGTTCCCCTAATTACAATTATAACCCCTTCAAATGAGAATTATCTGAACCATATTGTCAGAAAAGTACAATTTCTGATCCCTATAACAAATCTGACATTTGTCTGACCCTTGATCAAACCTTGTGCATGCGCAGCTCGCATTTTAGTAACATCTAGAAATCACAGCCAGAGACAAGTGTTATTGTGTCATTCATCAGTTCATTGGAGGTTCTTTATATTCATTTGTAAATTTTCTGTTATAAAATATATTGATAATAAAGCCTACCTTGAACAATTTGGACCTTGCGTTTAAATGTAACCATCAATGGCATATGTTTTTAGCCAGGCATCATCATCCCAACCAACGATCCCGGGGTCAGATCTATAGTTAATTGATAATCACTATTTGAAAAAGGTGTGTTCAATACATTTCCATTTTAGGGGTATTCTCAGGTGTGCGCCCCACTCCTTTGCAGCACAAACAATAACCCAATAGGCAGTCCAGCCAAATAGCAAAACTACTAAATCTACACAAGTATGTACTCTACTCGGCAAGATGTTTCCTTCATCCATGAAACCAGTCTGCCAAACAAGGTAGGGCAAGTAACATTTGACTTAACAAACAAACAAAAAAAGGGGGGGGGGGGGAAGAAAGAAACAAGGAAAAAAACAAAAAGAAACAAAGAAAAGAAAGAAAGACAAAAAGAAAGAAAAGAAAGTGAGAAAAGAAAGAAAGAGAAAAAGAAAGAAAAGAAAGAAAGAGAAACAGAAAGAAAATAAAAAGAAAGGGAAGAAAAGAAAGAAAGAAAAGAAAGGTGACAGACAGAAGTGCTTAAGGAGTGAAATTTTTTTTCAATTATACCTATTTAGTGATTTCATTGAATAAATAGAGTCACTAAGTCACTAAACCTGTTCAATGGATATTAGACTAATACACAAGTTAAATGCCTTCACCATAATATCCCTTAGTAATCTTGAACTGCAGCACATTCTTCACCATCAATCGAAGATTCATAAAAAATAAATTGAGTAAAAATATTAAAAATGAAAAGAGAAAAGTATGAATTAATAAATTAAGTGCACACACTTAGGTAGAGTTAGGAGAGAAGGCATTTAACCCATGAAAATAAAAAAATAATAGTCAATGTGTAATAGTCAAATAGACACAAAAGAAAACAATGGAATTATTAGGGTCTACTAATGTGTATTAGTCTAATATCTATTGCACAAGTTGAATGCCTTCCCTCTATGTAAGAAATTGATTCATTGCATACAAAACTATAGTAAAACATATAAATTAAAGCATAAAATCTTTAAATAAATAAAGGCAAAAAAAAAAAAAAAAATTACAACAAAACTTTTTATAGAAACTTAATAATAGTATCTGTACTGTCAAAACCAGATTCATTAAAAAAAGGCAAAGAATTAATCGAAAAATTTTAATACTCTATTTAAAAGAAAAAAGAAAAATAAAAATGAACAAAAAAAATTGTAAAAAATTAGCAGAATCAAAAACGTAAAAAAAGTGAAAAGAATAAATATATAAAAAATATATTTTGAAATATCTTAAGTCTTTTTAGACTCGTTGATATCCAAAATTTATAAATATATCATTATAAATTTGCAGTTCCAGAAATTATCTATAACATCCCCACCCACCCCCCAAGGGATCGGGGAGTCAGAAAAAAGAATGTAACTAAACTACAAAACTGTGAAAAAAGTAGTAAACACACAGAACTAAGACTTCCTCTTACAAGTTCATGTGTCATCATCATTCAATAAAAAGGCTTCTTTCTCAAACAGTAATAAACCAAGGCCTATCTTATGTCAGACATAGTTTTGTTTTATCTATTCGTTTGGTTTTATATCATTCCTGCATACCTGCAGGAGCAATTGAGCAACCATGGAGAAACACCAAGGAGTTGAATATTTAAGCCCCTTACTCCCAGAAGGAACATATTTTTCTACTTCCATCTGACGAATCAGAATTACTCTCACAAACCCTCACTCTCTATCATCTATCCCAGTGTTTTTGGTTGTCAGACCCCAGGGTGTGAATGACATCTAAATAGACTCTTTCCACCAACATGCATGCAATGTGTGCAAATTGATTCCTACTGAAACAGATGATCACAACACCATGGAAAGATTTCAAGGAGTTGAATTTTTAAGGTGATGACTCTTAAGAGGACCTTGTAAATTTTTGGATCAATGCCCTTTTTGTGGTTAAAAAGCCAAAACCTTGTATAATCCAATCAGAATTTTTTTCTAAAAAAAATACTTAACTCAAATTTCATTGACATTTGACATCTAAAAAACAATTGTAAAAAATTAGCCTCTGGAAAATGTTTTACAAACTCCGGCTAATTAAGTTTTTTTATAATAATTATCATGGAAAATTACTTGGCGAAATTCTTATTTTTGACTTAAAGAGCTTCAAAAGTTCTAGAAGTGTAGCTAAAATCTACCACTTAAAAAAGCAACATATTTTGAAATAATGAACTCAGAACTAAGACTTCCTCTTAAAAGTCCATGAATGAGCTTCTTCCTGAAACAGTAAGAAACCAAGGCCTTCCTTCCCTCAGACCTAAGAGGTTAGTTTTATTTATTTGGTTTGGTTTTATCATCACATCAAAAAACGATCATCTGAATGGACTCTCTCCAATCAGCACCATTTATCAATCCCGCATACCTGCAGGAGCATGGGCCACCATGGAGAAACACCAAGGAKTTGAATATTTAAGCTCCTTACTCCCAAAAGGAACGTATTTTTTTCCACTTCCATCTTACGAATCAGTAGACGGACTTCCTCCACTAACACCACGTCCAGCATTAGAGGACACCGAGGGCCTTGTTTTCCCCAGACCCCAGGAAGGATTTTGTTTGTTGGGTTTTATCATCACGTCAAAAAACGATCATCTGAATGGAC